AGTATTATTTACAGCTTTAACAAAAATTTATATACTTTATTTATTTGGAGAAAACTGCACAGTGTTATTTTATGCTTGATTATTTATTTCTGTACCTACATAGTGTTAGACTCCCCAGAAAACCATAAAGCATTGCAAATTTCTTTTTTATTCTGCTCTATTGTATTGATCAATTATTGTAATTTATTATAGTTTATGTAATTAAATGTTTACGTATGCTTTCACATTGGAATACATATACAGTCAGAATTATTAGAGTTTTATTGAGTTTTTAGCCCCCCTGTATTAGCCCCAATTTCTCAAATTTTGACCTAAATTTTTCAACATATTTCCAAACATAATATTTTTTTTAACCAATTTTTTTTTAAATCTTTGCAATGATGACAGTACATAATATTTATCCAGATATTTTTTAAGATACTAGTAATCAGCTTAAAGTCAATTTTAACCGCTTAACTGGGTTATTCAGGCTAACTAGGCAGTCCGGGTAACTAGGCAGATCATTGGTTATGTTTCCATCGTTTCCAACTAATTTTTTGCGGATTTTGGATATGTGCATAAAAAATAGTTGATGTAAATGCATTCATTGCGTGACGACATCGTCTTCTAAAGTGCAAGTCATTTATTAAACAAAGAAAAGATTGACGCAGGTTCTAACACAGTAAATTCCGTCTTTACTGTTGATATTTCGCACCAGTAATCAGGAAGTGATATTGTTCTCTTTCACTCATTGGATGAAAATTGTTTGCAAATCTTTTATGTGTTACTCCAGTTTTGTGCATACGTTTAATTTGCATCATTGGATGAAAATATAGCTAATATATAACAGTGGTTTGTTCTGTAGACAATCAAAACAATATTTAGCTTAAAAGGCCAATCAAACCGAATGCGCTTTTACACTCCAAAAACTGGGGGTGCACTACACTGCCTTTTTTTTTTGTTGACAAGAAAAAAAAGAAGCACAATGCGCTTTTTTTGTCACTAGGCAACCAATGAATCAGCTGTATATTGTCCGCGACTATTGCTGTTTATATTGTTATAATTGTTACAGTTGTGATATTCAAGATTTGTAAAGCCATACAGCACCAGTTAACTCAAAACAGCGATCGTTAGTCGTCCCTCCATCTTTAAAAGTCTTTGTAGTTGTCTTGACAACACAAACACTGCTGTCGTCTTAATGAAAACCCTGCTTTCATTTGATTGGAGAATAAAAGAGACACGACTGGCATAAGAAGCTTTTTTCACTGAGAGTTGACTTTTTTTTAACTGTTAGTCAGGCATGAGACGATTACCGGTTTCAAGTCAAACTGTGGTTTGAAAAAGTCAAGGTTTTAAAACAGCAAAAAATTCTGTTATACCCTTTTTAGGTATATGTAAAGTTTTTAATGTATTTTGTATGTGTTTTAAAGTAATCTGTGATTTTTAAACCAATGAAGCTAGCAGAAGTCAATGATTCATTATTTAGCCAGTTTACTGTTCAAAAATATTATAAATATGAATTGAAAAATGTAAATTGCAATACTGTATATTGTGTTTAATGGGTGAAAAATGTGTTGTGTTTTAACTAAGACGCTTGAAAATAGCTTTTTTTTTTTTTTTTTTTTTTAGAGCTGTAATCATAATACTTTGATACTATAAAAAACCATGTTATTTTTATCCGAGGTTATAATAACATCACAAACTAATTCCGGCCCACATTAAACAGTTTTTTTGCATATATATATATATATATATATATATATATATATATATATATATATATATATATATATATATATATATATATAAATATAAATCGTAATGCCATTTTTGTTGTTTCCAGTATCGTCTAATACTAATGCATATGCACTTATTGTAGGAGACCTCCGAAACTAAATCAGGACCTTTATAATAGCATAATAGGATCAGTTTAAAAAGAGACAAAAGAAGAGACGAGTTTAGCCGAGGTCATTGATCCATTGTGAAAGCGATAGCCTTTGGAGTCACAGGGTTAAAACTGTCCTCTTGAACTCTGGGAAGTTCCATGGTGGCGTAATTTTATCTTTCCCAGACAGACCTAGTTCAGCAAAATCACTAGCTGTATTTTTATTCGAGCCTATATCATAGGGGAGAGAATGCAGTATGTGGAGTCAGCACAACATATTTGACCACAAATATGGTCTGAGTAATACTGCAAGCGGTAAAAGATATCTGACAGTGCTGTACGTGTCAAATCAATTAGCTTGAGTCTCATGTAAACGGCGCTGTATAACAAACTGATGGATCATGATACAGGCCTCTTTGTCTGTCGCTAGCAGGGCCATGTGATGTGACTGGTGTGACCTAACAGACCCAGCACACGTGGTAGGAACAGGCTGAAATAGGGTCTGCTTTGTGCCCGTTAGTCCCTGGAGGGACCAGTTCTCCCGGAGATCAGCCTGTCACCAGCTCATTCTGCCATGACTAAACGGAGACACGCTGGCACCACTGACCAATACAGACCCCCGACTGTCTCTCAGTAACAGATGAGACAACCTCTGACACAGAGACTTCATCACTAGTTATTTTATTTAAGATAGAACTCGTTTATAACATGATTTGATTTTTTACACTGTTTGGGCATGGCTCTAAAAAAAAGTTATGTAGTGATTATTTAAATAGATTTTAGTGAATATTTAAATAAATAATTATTATATATTGATTTGAATTTGTAGTATTAATAATATAATAATAATACTAATAATTAAATAATCTGCTACAAATATATTGTGAAGAAACTAGGGATGTAACGATTCATCTGACTCACGATTTGATATGATTCACGATACTAATGTCAAGATTCACAAATTAGTTTTTGAACAAAATTATTTGAAACTAAGGTGAAGAGACCTTTAATTTTTTTATTAAATGCTGCACATTTTTGCAAAATATAATATATTTGCTGCCATAACCAAATTGCTATTATTAAAAACAAAAAAGACTAATAGAAACTAAAGAAGACTCATTAATAGAAACAAAGTAAAACGGTGACTGTGCTGGTATTTTACATTTTTAAAAAGAATTATCAGCATATGTCTGTTTTCTAACATAAGCTGGGGTCTTTGCACATTTACAATGTCCCCTGCTGATGTAAAAACTCTTTCACTGGGGACTGAGATGGCTGGTGTGGAGAGGAAAGCCTATCCTAAACCAGAGAGCAGCGTGTACAGAGGTGGTCAATAGGCCCTCTGATCCAGGGCACTGGCCACTAGCATAAAATACTGATTATACAATGACTAATTGTAAAGTAGGATAGAGACAGGAGTGGTACATGACTATATGAAGGTGACTAATTAATATTACTTGTATAATTAATTAGTATCCATAATAGACACCATAAGTATCAGTGTGATGCACTTAAGAAGAGATACTCTTGAACATGTTTAATATTATTAAGCTAATTATTAAAATATGCATAAACAAATTTTAAAAAGGAGAGGATAAAAATAGTCTAATACCTGCTTCTGTAACATAACTTTCTCTTTCAGTCTGAAAAACATCTACAGACTTTCTGTAGCACTTGTCAGGGCAAGCGGAGTTGCAAATCTTTACACGTCTGTGACAGCAGTTTTTTATTGTGCTGCATCACATTCGTTGTTCTGCTCTGTGCAAGTAAACGTCTTTTTGCAGTATTGGCACAGTTTGTGTGTGGCACACCGCTGTCATTTTACTCTGCCGCCCCCCACCTCTTGCTTGTTCCTGATGTGCAGGTAAAGCGCGATTGCGAGATTTTTGGGATACAGATCAAGCATACATTTAATCTGCTGTTATTATTTTTATTAATATTAATTAATATTAATTATAATAATATTAGGGATGTACGCATTGACATAAAATGTATTACAGCTGTTAAAATTGTAAATAATAAGAAAAATAATGACAAATTTATTATACAAGTTGTTTGTTTTGTTGTTTAGGCTTGCCCATGCATTTGAGAAATAATTGCAATAAAGTCATTAAAATATATATAATACTAAGAATTATCTTGTAGGGTTGTTTTTTTATGTATATACAGTAGTCGACATTTGAAGTGGATCAAAAATATTTTATTAAGTTGTTCTTAAAGTATTAAACAACACCCGTTCTTGTTTTTTCTGGTCCACTTCAAATGTTGACTACTGTATGTATGCATGTACATATACAGTGGGGGGGGAAACATATTCAACACATCATGATTTTTCCTTAGAACAATATTTCTAAAAGAGCTGTTGACATGGAGTGTAAAAATCTTGATGTTTCTGTGGGTTTTGTCTATCAAATCAGATTTTTATTCTGTATACTATATTGGATTCAAGTCAGGCGATTGGGTGGGCCATTCTACAGCCTGATTTTCTTTCTCTAAAGGCATTTAAGAGTTTCCTTGGCTGTGTTTTGGATCATTGTCCTGCTGAAATGTCCACCCTGGTTTTATCTTCATCATCCTGATATTGTATTTGTTGGACTAAAGTAGCTGATAATAATTTACAATGACAAGCGGCAGAGGGTTGCTGAATAACTACTGGGAGATTTTAGCTGCTATCTGGGCTTTCTACACCACTGACTTTATACACCTTCCTTTCTTCATGTGTTCAATACTTTTTTCCTGTGTCATTTTATTACACATAACTTAATTTGTAAACTAATTAGATTAGTTTTCTTTGCATATATGGATTTCTTTGGTTGTACCCAACATTTGGTGAAAAATTCAAGTCAACAGCACCTTCAGAAATATGTTTTCTGAGAAAAACGGTGTTCAATACTTATTTCCACCTCTGTATATTTGTATGAATAGAGTTACATTGTTTTAATTTTGATGGCCATGCAAAATATCTGTGACTAATAATACTAGCACACACTGTATGTGCACTATTTAACTAAAACTTTGTTGACATTTTATACAGAATATATGTTTTCCTTAAACACTCTGAAATCCCCTGTCCATAACAATAACAGAAGCCTGAATTATGCGAGTGATTATCTCTCTCTCTCTCTCTCTGCTAAAGGAGCCTGATGTGTTGGAGGAACAGGAGGACAGTGGGGGAAACAGCCTGACATGAAGCTACACCAGAAGGGTACGACAACGCGGACCGGAGCTGGAGAGCAACACCCCCGAGATCTCCCTCACAGGCCCGCCACGGGGCACAGAGTATACCACAGAAGAGTCTGACAAGAGAGACACTCACAAACCCACCGGCCTCAAAACCATACTGACAACAATCCTAGAAAACAAAGACTAACAATAACACAGACAGAGAAGGAGAACGAAACGGCCATCAAAGGCTCAGAGTGTCCCGGCAGACAGATTTCATCCACAATAATCCCTGCCCAATCCCCAGACGCCTATAATCAGCCACACGGGACAGACGCTACAGGCTCTTTACACGCATTTGCATTATTGCACAAGCGTTAGGGCCTATTGTCAGTTTGTTGGAAGGATTTGATAATGAAAGCATCCCTGGGCATTTCTGTATTCATCAACAACAAACGAAGAGGATTGTTATCACTCGCAAGTACTCTCAATGAAGCACGAACTGCAATTGAGGAGCTGGAGAAATGGGTGGAGAATTCCTCCCAAAGGAAATCTAAAGTTCTCTACAACACTCCCACTGGTGTGAGATTTCCCGGATCCCCCTGGACATCACCAGTTTTATTTTTTATTATTGTATGACGTCTAGCCCTGGGCTGTTAGATTAGAAAGATTGTTGTGTTGTGTTGTGTTGTGTTCACCTGCGGCCTTTTTTACACCTGTTATTCAGATGCGTTTTGGTTGAGCAGATCACAGGTAGATGAGAGAGACATCCTCCCTGTATAAATACATGACAAAAACTCAATGTTTTTAATTTACTTTAACTAAAATTAATTCGTTTTTCTAGTTATACAGTATATGAAGTTAAACTTAGTATTTTAGTCAGTTTGGCTGACATAAAGTGAAACTATAGAAGTTCCTTTGATTTAACAAAAAAATTGTAGACAGTAAGAGTATTTTACAGTGACTAAATTTACATGAACATCAGTAATCAAATAACTTGCCTTAGTCTGATTATGACAATAGTATGATTGATGCGTTTAAATGTGTTTAAATGAGTTGCTTTCTGAATGTTCCTTTCATGATCCCGTTTTACATGTTACACCACATTATTTGATTAGCGTCATTGCGTCACCACACTATCCACATTTGCTCCAGAGTTTCATGTAATTTCGGGTGTTTCATTTTTAATCAGTCAACTTTAGCTGCAGTTTGGCACTTTTACTTTTATTAAGGAACATTTCAGAGAGTATGAATTAAGGACTGATGGAAGAGTATGTTTTAATGGAATTCAATGCCGCAACTCCGTATTTCACAGTGTATGTGTCTGTGGTTCTTCACTGACTTGATAGGTGCAGAGAATAGTGTAAAACAGCTGTATGTGTATAGACCACCCTGTCGCAAAATGCGCTGAAAAGTCCTACGGTACATGATGGTAATAGATTGATTGCAGTGTTTACATGTCTGTACTAGGGATGCTCAAAATAACCGTTAACCAGAAGGGTGTGCTTTGTATTAATTAATGGTATCAGTTAAATGATTAAAAATATTATTTTTGATATTTTTAAAGTTTGGCTGCACAAGGGGCCGATCACAGGATCACAGGAACAGTCTTTTGGCTACACTTTTGAATGGTTTACTAACAGCCGCGAGTGTTTTGCGCACTGCTTAGGGGCCGATCACACTGAAAGCAAATTTACGTTCCGTGGATGGAAGTTATTCGCAAATCTTTTATGTTATATTCCAGTTTTGCGCAAACATTTAATTTGCATCACTGGATGAAAACATAGCTACTGTAGAAGAATGGTTTGTTTTGGAGACAATTGAAACAATATAAAGCTTACAGGGCCGAACGCGCTTTTACGTTCCAAAAACTCGGGGTGCACTACACTGCCTTTTTTTGTTGACAAGAAAAAAAAAACGTACGATGCGCTTTTTATGTTGCTAGGGAACCACTGAATCAGCTGTGTATTGTGCGTATTGCGCGAGTGTTGCAGTCGATATTGTTATAAATGTGATATTTAATAATATTGTGATATTCAAGATTTGTGAAGTCATACAGCTCCTGATAATTCGCTAGTCTCCCCTCCATCTTTAAAAGTCTTTGTAGTTATCATGACAACACAAACACTGCTGTCGCCTCAACGGAAAGTTGCTTTTATTTGATTGGAGAATGAAATAGACGCGACTGATGCAACAAGCTTTTATTTTCAACGTGAGGCAGAGCTGTATTACTTTTCAAGGCCTAAATATCACAATATTATTAAATATTACAATTATATAAACATCAACAGCAACACAATACACAGCTGATTCATTCGTTTCCTAGTCACATTAAAAAAAAAAAAACAGTATCTTACTCATAAACAGTGATTTTTTTTTTTGTCTCATCAACAGAAAGGCAGTGTCACATTTGCCACATTTTTGGTGCGTGAAGATGTTCTGTTGTTCTGTATGCTGTTGTGCATTAAAGTGCAATATTTAATGTGTCAGACACAAAAGAGATACATCAATTAAATTTTTTTTTAATTAAATAATAATTATTTAATATTAATCTGACAAGTTAACCGTTAATATTTGGTTAACGTCCGGTGGTTGTCGGTTGGCAAAATTACCGAAATGAGCATGCCTAGTCTGTATTGCACTTAATCGGCATACTCAATGTCTTAATCTTAATCCGATTTCTGTTCAGTTCGATTATGGCCTTAATAATCTGATTATGGCCTTAATCGGAATAAATTTATCAGAAATCACCGTTTACATGGTCGACTCTTAATCAGTCTTAAAGATATTAAAATCTGATTATTGGTGTCATGCGTGATCAAATAGTTTGCCTTAATCTGAATAAGATAATAATATGATTGGGTGTTTACATGAGTTGCTTTTTGATTCTTTTCATGTTCCCGTTTTACATGTTCTAACGCAGTTTGATTGACGTCATCGCGCCACCACGCTATCCACATTTCCTCCAAGGCTTCATGTAATTTCTGATGTTTCATGTCTAATTTGTCTACTTTAAATGCAGTTCGGCAGTTTCACTTTCGTTTCGAACATTTCAGTGATGATATATGGTAATAGTTTGATTGCTTCTGTCTGCATCTGCATCACACTTCAATAATGCGACTAAAATCATCATACTCCACATTTCTTAATTCCATTACTATTTAGTTCGATTATGAACTTAATCAGATTAAATTAATCAAAAAATCACTGTTTATATAGTAGAGTGTTGTCTTAATCGTATTAATATCGGATTATTGATGTCCATGTAAATGTACTCAATGTTCCTGGTGTTTTAATCAGTCTATTTGTGCTCATGCATGCAATTCATGCATGAAGTATAAATGACAATATGGAGATCAGCAGCAGTTTTTTCTGCTCTGGCAAATGCAGAACTACACCAAATTAAGAAATAAATGTGATTTTCATCATGAAACTCGACTTGAAGTTATAATTCAGCCCAAAATGAACATTTACTCAATTTATTCAGTAAAGTTAAGATATTTAGAGGAAAGCTTAAAAACCTGTAAACATTGACTTCCACCTTAGGAAAAACAAATACTATAAAAGTCAATGGTTACAGGTTTTCAGCATTATTCAGTATATCTTTTGTGTTCAGCGGTTTTAAAGAAGAGTGAATAATTGATGACAGAATTTACATTTTGGTTTGAAGTTTAAATCTAGCTAATCAATCTTCAACAATGTACCTCAATGTTTAAAAATGAGGTCAGTATGCAAATATGAAACTATGTTTAGTGGTTGTTCGAACACATTCAACAACATGAGCATTTACACCACATATACATTTTGGACTACCTCTGGGAGTGGTCGAAAGCAGATTCAGACGTATAGTTTTGTGATCGGATCAACCAAAACTCATCTTAATACCAGATATAAAAATGGCCAACGTATGAAGAGCATAGAATTGCAGATTGAACTCATCACAGGCTTCCAGTTCCTGGAGGGCCGCTGCTCTGCACAGTTTAGTTCCTACCCTGCTCCAACACACTTACCTGTAGGTTTCAAAGAAGCCAGAAGGACTCAATTAGTTGGATCAGATGCGTTTAATTCGAGTTGGAATTAAACTATGCAGAGCTGTGGCCCCCGAGGAACTGGAATTGACACCAGTGGAATAGATAAATGGGTGAAATGTCTAACCTCAAACTAAAACACACAATCATACTTGGAGGATTACAGGTGTTACTGTTCTCTAATAGAAATGCTTTTACTGGTCAAAAACATCCACGGTATTATCATTTTGTTAATGCAGTTTTTTTGATGTGAACTTCACAACTGATCAATGAACAAATCTCTTATTTATAAATAAAACTTGTACATATGTTTTGTAGTAAACACTAGTTTCTTGTTTTATTATTATTATTAGTAGTAGTATTTTCGAATGACATAGAAAAGAAACCAAATACCTTATTTAGGCATTGCTACTGAAGCCCGCTTTGATACATTGGCTATTTTCATGAATGTACAATTGGTTAAGCTACAATGCATACCACAGTTGTCACTTTATTTGACAAGAAGAATGCATCTTTATGTATAATATTAATCATATTATTATAAATAATAGGGATTCGCGTGAGGAGGGGAATTAGCATCATAGACATTAAAAAATGGCAGCTTGATTATGCTTTGTTGTTGTTTATATGGCAGATACGTACATGCAGAACAGCAAGTAAAAGATGAATGCTACAGGAAAGAGTTACATATCCTGAAGGTACACACAAGTCCACCATAGAATGTTCAAGAAAAAACCCATTTCAGACACGTCGGAGGAGCCATTCATGAGAGTGACTTAGTCTTTTGCTACAGCCAGTTTAAGGTTGTTCAATTGCCACAAAGCCCATAACGCTCATTATCTAGCCAAATCTCCATTCATTAGTGCAAATCTCAATTCACATTTAGGTTTTGAACTAGATACTGTGGATGACATTGAAGGTGAGGCATCTTTTCACAGCTTAAAAAGCAAACGACAGACAGGCACGGACTATTGAGACAGTCGTAAAAGGCTATTAAATCGAAGGAGTCCAAGGTTAGTTCATCAAGTGGAATGAAGTCTTATTTCAAACATCTGAGTTAGTTATTAACCAAATGTTCGGACTTTAAACTTGCATTCATTAACAGCAAGCATAATTCAATTCTAGACTCAGAGGATAGAAAGAATCTGCATTGGCGGTTGATGGAATCTGTTTACTCTATGAAAAGACTCAACAGCCGGGTCAACGTCATGCCAAATGTTTCAGATTTCGGAATCGTTAAGTTGCCATATAGCAGCAACTCCTACAAGATCTGCATGTGAAGAGGCTCAAAAGACAAGCCACACACACACACGCATTCACTAAAAACCTTCTTCGATCATCTCACGTCACAATTTCAGACTGTGCAAGTGGTTAATAATCCAATATAATAAAGCAAAACATGCAAGGACTGCAGCTCAACTGCAGCTAAAGTGCATGGTTTATACACTCCGGTTGCATCCAGCTGTTTTATCGAATAAAAAGGAAAGAAATCCCACAACTGTGCAGATCAACATTCATATTTACATCAAGTTGGTGTTGACAACCAAGATATCAAGAGGAAATGTAAACCACAACTCACTTGGAGCTGAGTATTACAAGGATCCTGTATGCAGTCATGAGATGAACATGCACGCATATCAAACAATGATCCCATTGTGTTCGAGGGATTTTACCGAACACCACCACCACGTACAGTCTGGCGTATTTACAGATATGATGAGCTGCTTGCTCATTTGCCTGACGGCGAAGAGGAGCATTTAAATGCAAATGATTAATAATACTGACTGCTCATACATAAAAAACCTGAATTTTTCAAGAGAAAAACTGGCTCAGTCATATTTCCGGTTTGTAGCAGCAATGCTAAACAAAGTAATAATGGCGTAATGTATGATAAATGCTGCGTGTGTGAATGTCTGAATGTGTCAGTGTCATTTAATGATCATAAACGAAAGCTTATTCCAAAGCTTTCCTTTTCCTCCACATTTCCATGAGGAGAAACTCAACCTACCACAGCTTCGACACCTCCATTCTGGTAAACAAACTCATCTAGAGCACAAACCCATCCGTTTCCTTGAAATTTCAGCCCCCCGTCTTGAGATGTTTGTGGATGGTCGGATGGAGCGGTGTGCAATATGAGAGGAGGTATGGAGTGCGGGGTGTTTGAGGAATGGGTGGTGAGTTCAAGCGTGGTCCTCGATGGGGAAAACCAGACGTGTGCCGCGGCTCAACAGCTCATGTTCACGCGTGTCCAGTTCTCTCTCCAGAGCGTCTTCTGACGTGCTGTCGCTGCGTTTGCCATTCAGGCCCCAGATCCCAGCCGACCCTTCGGGACCAGAGGAGGATGAGGCTCCGTTGGCTGTGATGGCGGTGTCGCCGTAGGTCAGCGTCAGGTCTCCTTCGTTCAAGATGAGGTCTGAGTCATTGTCCCGCAGCGGCTCATGGGTCTGTAGAGCACAGGGACAAGTCGGACATGAAGGAGGGAGGACGGGATGCTTGAAGTGCACACACATACACACACACACAGTTCAAGCTCAGCACAGAGGTTCATGAGGGACACTGGAATTACAAGAAGACAGGACAAAGAGAGAAATACACTTAGATGTCCTTATGCGAAAGAGAAAAAGAATAAACACACACTTACCTGTGTGAAACGCATTAGTTTTAAATAATGGAATTAAGTTTTATGAATGTCCAATTCATTCAGAGGTGCAAATTAAATAAAAGGTGTGTGTGTATATGGTACCTTATGCCTTTAAAAAAAAAAGGAATTATGGAATAATTGATAACGGTCAATCTTTGAAATAATAGAACAAAACACAGATCTATATGGTGGCACAACCAATCCCAAACATCTCATTACACAACTCCAAAATTTAGCTTTAGCTAGTAATGAAGCCTTGATCCTTTTATATAGAGAGAGCGAGAGAGAGAGAAACTAAAGACTGAAGCGTGTGAATTGATTGCATCTGAGCATCAGATTTTAGCAACCACATCTCTTCTATCTGTTTAACAGATACAAGAACAGCAATATTGCTGCCTCGCTACGAAATGTCACATATTTTTGGTTGTCCAACTGTTTTACTGATAATGTTAAAAGTTGTGCATGCTTAAAAAAAAAAAATCACAGTGCTACGGTTTCAACACATTCCTGTGAATGTACATCTGCATGTTATCTGTGTTTGTACAGGGAAGAGAGCAGGAAAAAGTGAGTATGCTTTTCATAGATGATAATAGAATGTCATTTTCATCCAGTTATTTAGTCTGCTTCATTCTTACTATGGTTGTTTGTAGATTTTGGTCATTTTCCTTATGTCAAATTGTATGAAATATTTGAAATCTTTGTCAAAGTTAAAGGTGCAGTAGGTGATAGTCTTTGGAAACACGTTTTGTTGTTCTGGTTGAGGATCTCTTCACATTTCAATAGTAATGTTTAAAGTAAATGACCTAAATGTATTTATATGTCATTTATATTCTGGGTAAGGCATAAGACTAAAAAAGTGTAGGGTCACACTTTATTTTAATGGTCCATTTGAATATTAGTAGACTGTCTGCTTAATATCTGTTGATACGGCTCCTTCAAGAGACATTTAACTGACTATAAACAAAACTTTGCAAGTACATGTCAACCTACACTAACCCCAACCTAACAGTCTACTTATAATCTAATGAGAATTAGTTGGCATGTAACTTAAATTCAACAAACCGACCATCAAATTCTGACTCTCAGAAACCGTTAAGATGCCATGAGCTGTTTCTATGCAACATTCTGAAGTAGAAAAAAATAAATTAAAATAAAAAAAAATTACAAATGAAGGAGATTTAGAAATAAACTGTGGGGGAATAGCCTTCTTTTAAAAAAAAAAAAAAGATTTTTTAAACATGAAACATTTATGGTTTTAAGTTTGATTACTAACTTGACGTCTGAATAATTAATTTATTTATTCAGTTATCACTGAATCCTAACCTACACAGCGGATAATCAACAGATGTGAAGCTGCACACCTTATAGTTTAATTTAAAAATAAAAGAAGTCATTATGGAATAACTGATGATGGTCAATCTTTGAAATATTTGAAAATAATGCAGACCAATATGGTGGCACAACCAATCCTAAGTATCTCAACCCACAACTAAACAAAAAAAAGTGACTTTAATAGCTAGTAATAAAGGCTTGATACTTTTATATGGAGAGAATAAAAGAGAGAAACTGAAGACTGAAGCATGTGAATATTCGCATCTGAGCGTTAGATTTTAGCAACCACATCTTTTCTATCTGTAAAATGATGTTTAACAGCTACAAGAACAGCAATAATGCTGCCTCGCTACCAAAGTCACATATTTTTGGTTGTTCAACTATTTTACTGATAATGTTGAAAGTTGTGCATGTTTATAAAGTCACAGCGCTATGCTGTCAACACATTCCTGTGAATGTATCTGTGTTTGTACTGTGAAAAAAGCAGGAGAAAGAAGGTATGCTTTCCATAGATGATAAGAGAATGTCATTTTTATTCCAGTTATTTAGTCTATTTCATTCTTACTATGGTTGTTTGCAGGTTTTGGTTATTTTGCTTATGTTGACTTGTTTAAAATACCTCAAATCATACGTCAAGTTATAATGAAAACTAACTGTACACTTTCATTTGAAAAATTGTACACGTTCATCAGCCAATCAGAATCAAACATTCAACAGCCCCCATAATAGAATACTTTATGATTATGAAACATCCTGCGTTTTGTTTTTCAGACTACAGATGTAGGAGCTTTTCAAACGCACTTGAAAACTGCATCAACAAGGACCGCAGAAAGCAGATTCAAACACAAGACATATGTAACAGTGAAACAACCACCCGCAGTTTAAAGACTTGCTATTCACAGAAGGCTGGTTTAATGGGGCTTCAGAGAGTCACTGGGTGCTACCGAAGGCGGTTGTCACTGAAGCACAACAATTACACCAGGAGATTACACTGTGCGCTAACAGATCAAACCAACTAAACTCGGTTACATAACAGATATATTCACATATAGCTGCTGTTAAATCCTTTGAGAAGGATCTAAATAATGCCTGCTCCATGTTAACGGTTGGAGGTGGTGTGATTTAGACTGTAAAGATCACCTGTTTAAGTGCTCGAAGACTCTAGGTTCTAGACCTAGGCTCAAGGCATGAGGAGAGCCCTTCCTATCACAGCAATGCTTCATTTTGATAGGTCAATAGTGGCTTTCTCAGAACATATTTTTAATATACAGACAGTATAGACCAGAAATGCCCAAACTAGAGCCTGTAGGCCAAAGATGGCCCATTGTAACCTTTGATTTGGCCCACCATACCATCTGAGAAAGGAGTATGAATGAAGGGCAGGATTGGGGCGAATGCTTTTAACAGAGATTTTCATTTCTAGTTTAAAATAACCTTTTTAGTTTGTTTGTTTCATTGCTGAGCTACAAAAATCCAACTAAAGTTAATTGTTTGATTTAAATGTTAATTGCAAATACGTAAATGAATACTTTGTAAAAATATAAATGTCACTTGACAGACAGAGGACAATGTAGAAGACATCTGCGAGTAAATCAAGGCAAAATCAGGTGTAGCTTGACTAGTATAACTCTGTTCTGTTATAAATTAGATCTTTTTACTGTAAGTTCATTATAAAATGTAAAAAAAATACTGTATTAGTTAATACAAAGCAATGTTTTCAAGCTATTTTTAAATACTATTAAATAAATTAGGAAGTACCCATGGCAGCTATATTTACCTTTGGACAGTGGTGGAAAGATTACTGAATAATCATACTTAAGTGCAAGTGAATATGGTAATAATAGTGTTGTAAATATTAATGAAAGTATGAGTAAAAAGTAGACCTTTCACGAGTTCTCAAGAATATTGAGTAGAGAGTACTACGCTGTAAAAAGCTGATGCATTTACATGTAATTTGTGGATGTGTGTAAACGTAACATTCTGTAGTGCATCTTGTTATTGCCTAGCAGGCACACAACATCATAAGGCATTAATATTAGGTTAGATTTAGGTCATGACGTCTGGTGACCAAAATTTAATGTCTAGCCAGTGTCTAAGGACAACAATATTTTGACGTCCAAGTAACAACTTCAACTGACTTTGATATTTGGTTGATTTTAGATTGCGTTAGAAAGTGACCAAAATTCAACAATGAGCCAACATTCAAAATTAACGTCATATTGAGGTCAAATATTTATTTTTCAGGTATGGCAACCAAAATCCAATGTCTGATAGACTTCATAGTGGTAACGTCCACACAATGTCAAGCTGTAACATCATTAGATGTAGAATTTAGGTTGGACACTGACGTCGACCTGACATTGAGTTCTGACGTCAACACGATTTTCATTTCGAAACAAAATGGAACATCCACACAACATTGGGGTACAACGTCAGTGAAAATATGTTGACATCTCATGCCTGCTGGTTGTTTAAGGCCATTTTAGTCATCAAACAGTAAACATCTGTCATCTTCTCATTAGTAACATGCATCTAAACAGTCACTAAGTCAATGCGTGTAAAGGTTTCGGAAATCTTCTTTTGGACATTTTTAATGCTTCCAAACAGCTTGCTGCAATTATAAATCACCCATGCCTTAAGGTAGTTCATTATGATGTGATTTATCTCCATGTACGATTTGATTGAATCACAGGACTGATTTTTTGAATCCCTATAGACAAAAAATAATAAAGTAGTGACTGCATGTTGAAGAAATGGAGTAAAAGTACACATACTGCACTAAAAATGTACTCAAAAGAGAGTAAAATAATTTTAAAACTACTTAGTAAATTACAATATCTGAGAAAAACCCCTCAATTACAGTAGTGAGTATTTGTAATTAGTTACTTTACATCACTGACTTCGGCCCACTAGTCTCAATCCGGTTTGGTTTTTGGCCCATTATAAGAAAAAGTTTGGACACGCCTGGTATAGACAGTAGTTTCTTGAAAAAAGAGACTATGTTTCTTCATCTGTGATTGAACACTTTCAAAAGGTGGCAAGACAAAAATATAAATAAGTCATTAGAGAAAAATCAAACTTCTTTTTTTAAGAACCTGTAAATCACATTTTCGATGTCACTAACATGTGCAAATTCATCAGTCAACACCAATGCTACAAGCATTTCTCCTTAAAACAGCAGTATACAAAAGAAAGCGTAAAAATGTGGTTTAAGTCCTCCCCCATTTCCTGGCATGGTAAACATTACATCACATTACACTTTGCAATGCATTTCTACTGAAGGATGTAGGTTTTTAGTAGGACGCTCTAAAAAGTGCTGAACTGTTGAAACCCAATGCTGGGTCAAATATGGAAAAACTTTAAATGAGATTCAAATGACATCAGTAAACAGTGGCTGGATGTGAAGGTGGGCTAATTATTTTTAGTTTAGCTATAAATGTGTGAGGTTCAAATTGGAAAAGGGTTTATTTA